AGAAATAATCTTTATAAAGAATTTTATGAGAAAACTGTAAGCCAGAACAGTCGTTGGCTTCCTATCAGCAGTTCTGGAAGACTCACAATGGATTTTGATGCTTTTTAGCTTCCTATACATGCCTCATGGGGACACTGAAGGCTATATCATATCATATCATGAACTGAAGACAACTAATAAGTATAAATTATTTCCTTGCATTATCATTTCTTTAATTTTGTATTGCCAGTTAAAAAAGAATGGCTATATTTCAATTATTATATAATACCATCCTAATTAGTTTGTGTCTACTAAATTCAAGTTCTCTATTTTGGGGCACAATGGTATTGTGCCCATCCCCTATTCCCCTACACCTCCCACTTGCTCATATAGCATTGATAAGGCAAATGTGGGTTTGACATAGCAAGACATGCTTTCCTCTGGACCTGTTCAGTTTAATCATTAATTTCAGAAAAGGAAAGGAAATTAACTATTAACCAACCATCACATTTAAGAATAGTTTCCCCCAAAGAATAATCTATAAATGTAAAGATTCTATAATCTATATGCTGTGAACTACATTTGGAAGGACTGAGGTACATATTCACAGGCCTGGTTGCCTTAAAATTCTGTGTATTTGAGGAATCCTTTGATTAATCTATAACTATATCTCCTAAAGTGATATCATTTCAGGAAATAAATTTGTAAGTCTCTTACTTGAACGGAAATGTTTGAGTATGGAAACTGACATCATATGATTTGGCTGACCTTTACCAAGATATGGACTCTTTAGCCTAACAGGTCTGCTTACAAAAATATAAATCCAGTTGACTTTACATAATAATGAACTCTCTCTCTTCCTTTTTACAGACTTGTAACTCTTCAGTGGTTTGTGGTAGTTGTGTCTACCAGACTTTGCTTGTATACTGAATATCCAAAAAAGAAATTGGGTTATAAAATAGTATACAGAATGCAGTTGGCTCTGTTCATTGAGGAATCACAAAATAAAATACACATGAGATGAAACTCAGGGTAATTTATAGTTGGAAAAAGACTGAGATAGTAAAAACTCAGACTAGAATTAGGGCTGCAGATTAGAAGGCCAGAGGCCTGCATGTGAACTCTTTGGCTGGTTTTATTGCTAATTTACTGATTTGGCGGGAAGTCATTTAACCTCAGTTGCTCTGATGCCACATGTATACACTCACATGTAGCTTCAAACATTTATTTGGTGGTGACTAAATATCTAGAGTCTTGCTGAATAGACTCTGGCAAGACTCTGTCCTGCACTAAAGATACCTAACAGAGAAGCTGAAAGTCCAGCTGATGTTCTTAATATTTTCTCTACTATGCAACTTCCAAAGGTGAGACTGCCAGAGGGTCATTATGAGGGGAAATCTCAACAGTCCAGGCCACAATGGAATGTGTGGGACAGCCTCTACAGAAAATTTTGGCAGACCCTCTGTTATCTCCACTTCCCCCACATGCCTTTTGAGAACTTTTGAGAACTGCTAGTCTAGAAGGATCTTACAGCTTCCAAGGGCAGCAGTATAAAGAAAATACTGTATTATAGAAAAAATGAAGATCTAATGAAGAAACCTAACAGCACCACATTATTCTATATATCTCTCTGTAAAGACATTAGAGAACTGTAGCATTTGATCCTAAGGAATCTAATATTAAAATAAATATCTAATATTTTGATGTACTTTGATTTATAAAATCTGCAAAAACATTTTGTTTTCATTTAATTTTTCTTAGAAGTACATAGGGCAATACTACTTTTCCTATTGAGATATAAAGAAACTGAAACCTAGGCAAATTAAATAACTCACCTAATGAGCGGCAGAGCCAGAAATTAAAACTAAATCTTCTGACCCTAAAATCAGTCCAGTATCCACCCAAGGGCAAACCCTACTTAAAAAATATAAATACATAAATGCTTATTCTTTTTAAGATAGAAAGGTCCTAACAAACCTTCAAGGCAAATAAGCAACTCAAATTTAAAAAAAAAAAATTATAAACTTCCATTTATAAGGTACAATGATATGACTCTTAACTGACATTATTGGAAAATAAGGTATTCTGGATGAAACTTCTAAGGATTTTTATATTAAATGTTTAAGATGAAAAAATAAACACATATATACAACCCATTAAACAGAACACAAAGATTATAATTTACACTTTAAAAAAACAATTTTCAGTCTCCCTACAGTTATTATACCACTATACCAATCTTTAGAGTGAAGTGCTCTGGGGCATAAAGCCTTAAACCTGGAAACTCAGAGCTCAAATTGCTATGTTTTTCCTCCTGTCTCCACTCTAGCAGACACTTCCAGTTCTGTCTTTGGTGTGGTTAGCTCTTTTCAGCCTAACTGGCTCCCTTCATCCCAGCTCCTTCTCCTTCTATCCACTTCCACTTGGAATTCTCTGCTTTTGTGATCTAAGGAGAAGTTTACGGTTATCAGGGAAAGCTAGAAAACAAACTTGGTAAGTATTCAAATTTAAAAACACATGCGTGTTTGCATACGTGTATGTACAACCATAGTCATACATAAGTATGCACACATACTAACAGTGCCAAATTATGTCTTCTCAGTGCTTACATCACTCCCTTTGCCATCACCAAGTAGGCATGAGCGAATGACATATAGGGTCGAATGTCCATAAACTTGAAAATTAAGAAAAATGAAAGAAAAATAATTTATTAAATCAGAAAGTTCTGATACAAAGACAAATTTCTCATACATTCTATCACACAATAAAACAGTAAAGAAGTAACAAATACAAAATAAAAACAAGTCCTGACTCTCATGAAGTTTATATTCAAAATTTATAGTCTTGTTTCATGCAGGTGAATTCTAAAATCATAATTCCCCCCCAAAATAGGGACTAAGGTATATTAATAGAAGTTTTAAAAAGTGTTAATCAAGTTTCACTATCTGTTATTGATCAGCTCTTCAATGAAGATTATAGATATCAAAGCTTTCCTTATTTATTTATACCTTAAGTCCACAAAAATAATTATTTCCTCAGCTACTTTCATAGAAACTACTTAAAACAGGGAAAACTATGCAAAAACATTGGGAAAGCCTTTTGCTTCTGAAGCAGAGAAGTGCAGGTTCTATAGAGTTGAAACTTGGGTCCTGATAAGAAGGCTGACCCACCTGCGGGGCAACACAGAGGGTCCTGCTCCAAATGCCCTTCTCCACACTGCTTTATTTTTATATATCACCTTACTTTGTTCACTAATTAGTGAGCCTGGGGCGAGCAGGAGATGGGGGGTGGGGGGAGTCCTTATATTGGAAGGTACGAAGTGGCATTAGGAAGGTACCAGAGGCAATTTTACCTATTTATCTACTACTGAGACAATCATATAGTTAAGAAAAGAGAGAAGGGGGTGACAGGGGAGGAAAGTCTGAAAAAAATAAATTGACTTCACTATCATACAAATTTATTTTCCAAGTCTCAGTCTCCTGGTAACAGGATCCATTTTTTTTTTTTTTTTCCTGTAGGAAATGCTATTCCCCACTGTTGGTCTAGGTAGCATAGGTTAGCAGACTCCAGCCAGAAGTAGCCTGTCAAATCCCTGCATTCCCAGGTCACTGTGACTGGGTCAGAGGGGAACATGGGGGCCAAGTGTAGTCTTAGATTTAACTGGGGACTTTTAAGAACTGTTGGGAACAGAGAACCTCTTTTTCATGAGGTCCTGGTGGCTTTCTAATCACCATGAGACAATATAGACAAGAACAGAACCAGAGCAAAGTCAAGGGGGGCAGGTCATGGAACTGAGCTCTAACCACCTGGCTTACGACCATGACTTATGGGAAGCCAAACCTATACTAGGGCTTTAGAGTTACGTGAGGCAATGAATTTCCATTGGTGCTTAAGCCAGTTTGTGTTCAATTTTCTGTCACCTATAACCAAGAGCCCATATTCTGCGAAAGAAATACAGAATGCCTATTACTGATTCAGTGCTGGGTTTGGGGACTATTAAATGATTAATAGTGTAAATAATGTAAAATCATGTAATATTAATTAAATAATGTGAAATCAAACCCAGAAGCACAGAAGTGACTACTTGGTCAGCTTTTTCATCTGGAACTGAAGACATTTACTCATGGTCACCAGCTAAACAGAGATTAATCATTCAAGTCCCTTACCCTTAGGTCTCTGAAACATCCCAGAAAACTGCCCTGAGAAATAAACCTATGGACGTTTTCATGTCCCGCTCCTTTTTGAAATCAACGTCAATTATGCCGGTGACACTGCTAACTAATAGCAAAACTTCTACACTTCAACCAGTCATGTAGTCAACATTTAATAAAACCATTTGGACTAAGTCTGATGTTAATTAATTGCTTATAAGTGAGGATGGAGAGAGGCAAAAAAGAAACTAAAAGACAGTACTTCTCCTTAGGAAGTACAATTACTCGGACAGAAGCAAAAGCTAGCCTAAATACACCTAGAGAATTGCAGTCAGATGTTTAACATCCTGATTTGTAAACCTTCAGTTAGAACAAAGGTAGGACTTCAGCTGGGACCTGGAATCCGAAGCAGCTGCTCAGTGGAGTCATTCTGTATGGAACACAATTTAAATTACAGACATGACTCTGATATTAATGTTTTAATTTGCCACAAACACATATATTTGCACAGAAACACAGAAAAGACATGATGCATCCTATGTGGGCCTAGTAAAATGCTCCTGCACTCATGCAAATTAAATTTACGTAGAATTATCTTTCTAAGGTTCACTGAAAAACCAAGACCAACAAAAACAAAAAGTTATTTTTCGCTGATCTCAGTTCCCAATGTTAAATTTTGCCCATTAAATAGTGCTCAGTGGAAAATCACCAGGTGGTTTTAGGTAAAGACAACATTACTATTTATCACTGACAGATTGCATCAGAAATGTTTTTGAATTATTTCCCAATAATGACTTAGAGTCAACTATACCAGTAAACTACACACTAGGAAAGAAAAGGTGTAAAAGGAACACCCACATGAACATTTACCTTCCACTGCTCTTTTGAAGAACACTTTGCAGCTGCCACAGGTTACTACCCCATAATGACATCCTGAAGCCTCATCCCCACACACCAAACATATTTTGGAAGGTCTTGAAGATCCAGTAGAAACACTTCGTAAGGTAGAGCTGAGGAAAGAAATCAAGATTTAAATAAATACACTGTAGTAGCACATTTGATATGCTGTATAGTTTATCTCAAAATCTGTCAATACTCGTGGTTGCCTAAATGAATTCAGTATTTACGGGTCACCTGTGTGACTTAGAAAATGAAAACTCTATCAGTGGAGGAATGCTATCCAGAATTCTGTATAGCAAAGCACAGCCTTTTTCAAAAGCACCAAAAAATAATATTCACATATATACTTTTCTCCATATTTTTGAGAAAGTTGACCAAAAAATCTTATTTGCATTCTAGGTGGGTAGGGAGGAGGAGAATCTTAAGTCATCAGGGAAGTATTTTTGGTATCAAAGAACTATTACAATACTTCCCCACTCTCTTTACTCAGATTATACATCTCAAATTATGCTAGATAAACTCCCATTTCCAACACAATCCACTAACTAAAATGCAAAACTTTTTAATTTTTTTTAAATTTTTATTTATTTATGATAGTCACAGAGGGAGAGAGAGAGAGAGTCGCAGAGACATAGGCAGAGGGAGAAGCAGGCTCCATGCACCGGGAGCCCGATGTGGGATTCGATCCTGGGTCTCCAGGATCGCGCCCTGGGCCAAAGGCAGGTGCCAAACCGCTGCGCCACCCAGGGATCCCTTCTTCCTTTACTGTCAGCAGTTTTACCCCTCCAAGCTTCTACATTTTTTTCCTCTTACCTTACTTAGATATGTATGTTCAAATCACTTCAATTTGCTTAATAATTTGAGGGGACATAGTCAATACTTAAAAAAGCTATGTATAGTAAATATTTCAGTATCTTTTTGGTAAGAAACTGAAGGGTTCTGGGCATCGGTTTTTAGGAACAAATTTAACCCTTTAAGCAAAAATCTACATGAATACTTTTATTTCATTTTTTAAAGAAAAATTTTAGTTATTTATTCACGAGAGACAGAGACAAAGCGCGCATGCGAGAGAGGCATATGCAGAGGGAGAAGCAGGCTCCCCGCGGGGAGCCTGATGCAGGACTCGATCCCAAGACCCCAGGATCATACACTGAGCCGAAGGCAGATGCTCAATGAATGAGCCACCCAGGTGTCCCAATATGAATACTTTTAAAGGGACATCTTTGCATATATATTGTGGTATATTATATATTCCACTGCTAGTTAATGGCACAGTTTAAACAAAACTTTTAAATTCTTTTTTTTTCTTTTTTATTTTTTTTAAACTGTTTTAAATTCTAATAAGGACTCATAGTTTAGTGACAGATGTGTTTTGAGCAGGCAAAGAAGGTGATGTTATTCATTCTTCGTCCTCATGCATTTATTATCTATATGCAGGTCCTGTGCAAGGTACTGAGGAAATAAATACCCAAACCTAGTATCTGTCCTCCAGTTAGTGGGAACATGAATTATTACGGTGAGTGCTACGCTGCAGGGCCGTATGGTGCACATACTGGGACAGCTGGGGCGATGTCAGTCAAGAAGCACTTCTCAAAAGGTGACCACTGAACTGAATTTGGAAACACAACTGGATGAGAGTTGGGCCAAGAAAAGGGGCAGGGGAAGCAGAAAGTACAATGGCTCAGGGAAATGCCAGCTAGACTTATTCAGAAACTTTGAGTAGGCTTATTGTATGTCACCACCATCACCTTGCTGTCACATCGGTCTCCATGTGAAATAGCAAGAATGTGGGGAAAAGACTCAAAGAAAACACAGTAAAAGGTTAGAATGGTTAGATTACAGGGATGCTTTCTTTTTCTGTCTTCCCAATTAGCTAAAATGTAATAATAATTCTGTCCTGGTAATTTTTTTTTTAAAAGTTTGGAACTATTTTACCTATGCTCTCACCAGAAGCAGAAGAAGGGTCAAAATATTTAGCTGCTGGAGCACTGCAGCATGACCGACTTTCGAGAAAATGACTTCTTAAATCAAGGACTGAAACAATGTTCTCCAAAGTTGTTTCTCCTTCTGAGAAAAGTGCTCTTTATTATTTTTATTAGTGTCCTTTGACTTCTTTATGGCATTCAAAACATTCCATTTCAGCACCAGTAACTTCTTCAGCATATCAGCCAGGGGAACTCAATCCATGCTCTGTCCGACTGGCTTAGGCTTCACAGGGAAATACCTCGACTTCGTAAACAGAATGTAACTTATGATCTTCATCAACATGTAACTGCTTTTCCACAACCACTAGCCTGCATGAGACTCGTATTTCACATTTTTGAGAGCCCCAGGCTTGGTCCCCAAACTTAATAATCTCTTAACCTCTGTCTTCGTAACTCTCTTCTATCCTAACTCACTTCCTCTGTGATCTCGCCTAGTTTCTTGGCTTTAAATATCATCAATATGCCCCGGACTTCCAAATGTTCACCTGCGGCCCACACACCTCCCTGGAATTTCTGCCCCATTCATCTGACGGCCTGACGTGTCCAGTTGAATGTCTGAGTGTTGAATGTAAGTTTGCGGATCATCCTCCTGCTCCTCCAACAGACTTTGTCATCTCAGTTAATGGTAACTGTTTGGGCTCAACTGTGTTCTCTCCAAAATTCGTGTGTTGAAGTCCTAGCCCTGAGGAAGTCAGCATGGGGCCTTTCCTTGGGAGTGGGCTTGAAGCCCATATGATCAGTTAAGACGAGTCCTGGCGTGGGGTGGCCCCTTCCCCAGCTTGGCTGGCATGCTTACTCAAAAGTGGGGATTAGGGGACACACACACACACACACACACACACACACACACACACACACACACACAAATGCCGTGTGAAGGTAAAGGCGGTGGTGCTTTTACAAGCCAAATAACACTGAAGATTGCCAGGTGACTACCAGGAGCTAGGAGTCAGGCAGGATCAGGTTCTCCCTCACAGCCTTCAAAAGGAGGGAGACCCTGATGTCACCTTAATCACAGACATCAGGTCTTCAGACCCCGGGGACAACGTATTTCTGCTGTTTCAGCCACCCAGATTGGGATGCTTTGTGGCTGCAGGCCTGGAAAACTAAAACAGCAAATTGGACTCATCCCTGACTCTACTCACACCACACACACAATCTGTTAAAGTCTACTCACTTTGTCTTCAGAATACATCCAGATTCACCTCCCACTGTTCCTGTGGTACCACTAGCCCAAGCCATCAACATTTCTTCCCTGGAATCTGCAAAAGCCTTGAAGCTGATCTTCCAGTTTCTCCCTGTGCCCCTCCTTCCCCCGTAGTCAGAACGATCCTGACTCACTCCTCTGCTCAAAGACCATCCAGCAGCTTTCTTTTACACTCAGAGGAAAAGTCGCTGTTACCCATGTAACCACAGGGCCAGAATCTGGCTTCCCAGACTTCTCTAACCTCTTTGACTTGCCTATACCGCTTCAGCAACACTGGCCTCCCCACTAGCCCCTGAACCCACCAGGCGCGCTCTGACCTCAGGGCCTTTGCACTTGCTATCCCCTCTTCACCTAGGTATCTAGAGAGTCCTCTCCCCTTCACCTCCTTCAGGGCTTCATCCAAATGTCACCTTCTCTGTCAACCCTTCTCTGACTATGCTACTGAAAATGCTCCCATCCTCAGGATCCTCTTTTTTCTTCTGGCTTTATTTTTCTTCCTAGAACATACCAGCATCTAAAACACCATCCACTTTACTTCTGTACTCTGTTTATTGTCTTCCTCATCCCCACAAGAAAGTAAATTTAATAGGAACGGGGGTTTCTTCTGCTATTTACCACGGTGTCCCCAGAGACAGGTCCCCACTCAGTACTTGAGTAAATGAGTGATTTCAAATAACTGGCACTGTCACAACAGATAACATAAAACCTACTGCATCAACAACTTTCAAGTGCTACTACACTCCTTATATAAAGGAATGAGATTTGTTTTTAACCATCTAGAGAGTGAAAAGTATGCAGTGGAACCAAATTAAGAGAATTCGAAGAGAGAGTCTAAGTATGAAAAAGACACACAGTGAAGTCCAAATTAAAACAATTTTCTTTAATTATAAAATTAAAGCAAACATGAATTATGTTTCCCTCTTGTTTCACTGTCATCTTTCAATGACACAGAGCAAATCTGCCTCTTGCGCAGCCCTCTGCCTCCTGGGTTTCTGTTACCCTGTACTGAGCTCGTTCTTCTTACCACGCCTCCTCTATTTTTCAGACTTCTCATTTTCTAGATCATCAATGTAGCTTTTCTTCAGAGCTCGACCCTTGACCATCTTTTTTCTTATTTCTGTACTTTATCCCTTCATGATCTCATTCCCTGTCCCAGCTCCAACAGCTCTCTTGGTGAATGACTTCCCAAATCTTCATATCTGGCTCCAACCACTCCCCCATGTCCAACTGCCTGTTTTCACTTCCTTTACATAACATCTCTGCCTCTGCATTCTATGAGCTTCTAGAAGGGTCCGGCTATCTGCGAGCCTCCCAGGGTCAAACCCTGGACTCTGCCCCTAACTGCCAAATCTAACAGTTATTGCTGCTATGAACATGGTACTAGGCCCTCGTCACTCACTTTTGAAAGGTTCCTCCCTGACACCAGCCCCTCCTCCCTCCAGCATCTCTTCCAGGAGCTGAGAAATGAATTTTCCTGTTTCTGCCTGAATGATCTCCATCACCCCCACCCTGTCACGAACGATGACCTCAGTAGGACAGCTAAGTGCTCTCCCCTCCCAACCTCCCTTCAGGTCCTCCCGTGTGCCCAGCCTGGCGCACCCTCCCTGCAGGGCACACCTGCACTTGCACAACCCAGCTTCCCCTGCTCCCACTCCTGGCAATGCATCCATCCTTGCAGGGGCCGCATCCATCCTTGCAGGGGCCCCATGTTCTCCAGGCCGCGAGCACCCCTGCCCTCCTCCTGATTCACCCCAGTGCTCGGCTCCCCCCCTTTCAGCAGTCCTCTCTCAGGGCCTTATGGGCCTTATGTTAGAGACCCGCGCACTCATCCTAGTCCCTTCAGGGCAAAAACCTGTCCTGTGCAGCTCTGTGCTCTCTGCTGCCATTAGTGTGGGGTTGCTACTATTTATTGGATGAA